TCTGAAAGTTATCTTCCCTCACTTTCCGCCAGCACCGGGGGCGGCTATCTTCAGAGTGCGGGAGCGCGGAAAGGAGCGGGCCACAGAAGATGCCGGTCATAGGTCCTGCGCGAGACGTTAGGAAACAAAACTTCCAGAACACGGCCACACAGCCCAGAAGACCCACACCAGTCTATCCCTATTGGACTTTGAATTGAATGTACTTGGTTAAAACAGTACTAATCACTGACAAACTATAAACATTAAGCAATATATAATACATATAACAATGTTCTTTAAAACTACAGTTCTATAGTGCTCTGTTTCATGGTTTTAATCCACTGTTCTGAAGTTTAGTTTGTTTTGAATGACTATTATTAATTTGAAGATCTCTGCATATTTTTGCAGCTTGCTTTTGTGCACTAATTAAATAAATATATTCAAATCCCACACTTTCTCTTTCTTTTTTTCTTTCTCTCTCTTTCTCTGTCCTCTTGTGTCTTTGGACAAGTGTTTCTCAACCTCAGCAACTTTAAGATGTGTGGAGAAGATGCTGGCTGGGGAATTCTGGGAGTTGAAGTCCACACATCTTATAGTTGCTGCAGTTGAGAAACACTGCTCTGGACAGTATCTTCCAGCTATAGATTATTATGTCTCAGCTTTATACATACTACAGAAGTAATCATCTGAGGAGCAGATACAAGTTTCATCTCCTTTTAAAAGCTGATGGCAAATGACTTCATAGAATGATGGAGGAAGGGATCTTGGAGACCATCTAACCCAGTGTTCCTCAGCCTTGGCAGGTTGAAGATGTGTGGACTTCAACTCCCAGAATTCCCCAGCCCGCACTACTTTTGCTTTTAAATGAAAGGAGATCATGGTTGCAGCTTGGGAGTCTCCTAATGTACCATTGTGAGCGCATCTTTGCAATACACTAGAAAAAGAAATATTTTCCCTCTGCCAAGAAGAAGAAAAAAATGGACAATTGTGACAAGCAGAATTTGAGTGAGAAGCCTAAGGAAAGGTGCAAACAAAAAAGCTGGGAGGGGAAATTTCCCAGCAGCTTCCTGAAAGCTGGCTGAGTTCTGCTGCATAAACTCTTATAATTTGTTAAACAAGACCATTTTTTTAAAAATTAAAACAGAGGGTTTCGGGTTTAGGAGTATCAGATCAGTTTATTGAACTGAGCAGTTCTTTCTGCCAAGCATGGGGAGATCAGCTGATGGTTATTCCAATTGCCTTGCCACCAGAGGAAGTCAGTCAAAATATCCTAACTCCAATAAAGCATGCTTTTATTATTTCCTAACTTTGTACTGACAGATTTAAACTTTTTGCAAACTCCTAAGCTGTTCTTAAACAAATACCCACAAAACCATTTATAAAATCTAATAAATCACATCCCAATAGCATCATTAATATAAAAAATTAAATACCTAAGACACAATGAAAAGAAAGAAGAGCAGATCAAATTATGAAACAATCTTAAATACAATTTAAACTTGAGTTTCCCCATTGCTCAAAGTATAGCAAGGAAAGTGTTAGGCAAAGGCATCTAGAGAGAATGGGAAGAAGTTACATGAATTTAAACCAGTCACAAACTGAACAGTACACAAGGTTGTAGTTCCATCTATTCTTACTTGGGGATGGGATGTCACTTGCTTATAGTCTGGTTTGTTTGCAAAAGGTCTGAGGGTTAATGACCAATTTTTCTTGAAAAAAGATAAGAAAGATTTCAGCTGGACAGCCATTACTAGTCAGTGAAAAAATAATACTAAATTAGTCAGATTTGGTTTAAATAAACTTCCTATGTTTTTAAGCCTCATTGCACATGGTGGAGTTTATTTAAGCATGCTTATACTCATGTTATTTCCTATATTTGTCTTTTCAGTGAACTGTACCTAGGGAAGGACAAATCTGTCAATGTTGACTTATTTCAGTTTTCCAAGTTCCCAGTCTTAAATTCTGTTTACCCTGTGATAGTGAGAAACTGAAGAACTGTGTAAAAGTCTGTGTGACCATATGTATACACCTACAGTCGCAAGTAGCTGCCTTTTGTATCTTATGCCAACTATGCATTTTACTCAGAATTTCCTCTAATGCACTTTTTCCATCATTTTAATCAATATACAGTTTTAGTTATATACTGCACACTTTCCCCTAATCAACATATTTTCAGACTTTTTTTCATGAAGGAGTTAACCTGCAAAATTCAGAGAAGCGTAATTTTGTAAGTTAATTCTGTTTCATTTCATGTAATTTGTTTGAAAGTATGATATTCAGGCGCAAACCGAACAAATTTCTCTTTAATACTTTCTGCTTCTGCAGAGTACTTTATCACTTTCTGATGATTAAACTTGCACATTATTGTTTTCTGCTTTCCCCATTCCAAAACAGCATTAGTTGCTATACAAATACTACCTTAATGCATAAAAAGTTAGTAGCTTTGTTCTGACACTGTTGCATTTTTGATTGCCAATGTACCACATAACCCATGCAAGAAAAAAGATTAATGAAAACTATAATAATTGGTTTAAGCCCTTCAATTCACTGTCAGTTCCATCTTTTGCATTCTCTAATTTGCATCCTAGCTTAATTCCCTATGCAAAGAATAATGGCATGGAAGAAATGATTCAATAATAAAGCCTCTGTGAATCAGACACTTAAAATACATCATTGTCTCCAGTCATAATTTACATTTAAATAAGTGCTTGGCTTCTTAAAGTACACTCAGATGATGATGATGATGATGATGATGATATCATACCCTGCTTCTCTCTGTTTTTAATTAAACTCTTGTTTGTTCCAAAATAGACTTTTCTAACTGTCACCAAAAATGCTCTATTATGACAGGCATGGGCTGATGAGTAGTGAATAAAACATAATGTGAAAATCACAATGAACATGCATCATGTCGCTGCTGCGTTTTATGAGCATATGGAATGTTTATCATACTTTACTGTTTTTGTTTTTTGTTTTTTAAGTTGGGGAATGTCAACATGCACATTTCCAAGGCATCCTTCTAAATCTGACAAAAGCCTTAAGTGCTGTCAGCTCTCACAGAGGTGCATAGATACAGCAGAGACCTGAGTATAACCTTGTTTTTCAAAATGCCAAACTATCCAGGCAACAGGTGTGACTCACACATCCTGAAATTCTCTAGGGACTGAAATAGGCAGCAAGTGGTCAGGCAGGATATTCTCCAAATATGCTGTCTGGTTGCAAAGCATTCTGCTTCTCACTGCCTGATAAGAATGTCACTGTTGGGTATCATGGCTATGCCATAAAAACCAACACCTCCTTCCCAGAACATTTATAATGTTATAGGAAAATTGTGAAAATGTTCAAAAACCTGAAAAGATCACCATGAAGAGAATGAGATATGGGGGTGGGGTGGGGGGTG